GTGAGTAACACAGCTCACCATGTTAGGAACTGTCTCCCTAAAGGAGGCCTGTTTAAGGGGAACACTCCCAAACTGTGACTCTTACATTGCATTCAAAAATCCAGAGACTAAAACAGGATGTTGAAGGAAGAGCTCTCAGGAGAAATCAGTAACAAACGGAAGGAAACAAAACAGGGGCCTAAAAGGAACGAATGCAAAATGTGGTTCCAGTTCAATTCTACCCTCACGTTCTGACCCCACAGGTGAGGGGTGTAGACTGTGTTACAGGCCTGCTCCTCTTGGAGGCAAGGGGGTTGGGCCTATGTACTCCTACATCACTTTTCACTACCTGTGCACAACCCTTGGGGGGTAGAAATGATGGAGGGGGCAGACTTCTGGGTGTGGTCCAACCCTAGGCCGAGAGTCAATTACCTGCAGAACAGTGTGGGTGAACAGTGTGAGCCACGAGTAGTCCGTACTCTGCACTGGCGTGTGGATCAGGGCATTTATGGAAAGGGGATCCAGATGAATATCACATATGTACCCCCTAGCTCTGCTCATGTCTATGGATTGCTCTCATTAGCCTCACTCCATGTGGCTTGCCACAAATTCTAGAAAAACCCTCAAGAGGGGAGTTAGTGCGTGGCTCCTCTGCTCCTTTACCTGACTTGCCTGGGGCACTGACCTCCATCCCCACCCCTGAGAGTCCTGAGCCCATGGTTCCTCTGTCCTCTTCAGGCTATACTACTCGCTCATCAGCGGTTGATACTGGGAATAGGATACCAAGAATGCCCCTACACATCACCTCGATGCCAAGCATCCTCCTTATGGCTCCCATAGCTCCCTTCTTTGCTTGATGATTTCATGGCACTAGAAACCCAACGGGATAAGGGGGCAGCCAGAGTTTTAATACCAATCAGAATTTTACCATGTCCCCCTCGAACTAGCTTTCGTCTCTTACAGCCATGACCCCTAGATGCACACAGCCAACAATTATGGTAGAGGGAGGCACAAATTCCCCCAAATGGATCACCGCGATGAAGATCATGGGGAAACTTCTCCTTTCACTCCAACCTCCAGATCAATGTATTCAAACAAGGGCCATGAAAGACTCTGGATATCCTGCAGTCCGTTCAACTCAGATCCCATGTACAACAGCCTGCCAACGTAGGAGTATTCCAGCTTCCCCTGGGTCAATGGCTATAGATTTTGGGGCAAGGACTAAGGAAATTCTGTGATATACACTTGCTGTGATCCTTCATCCAAGAACACTGGTCTCTCCATTGATGGGTTAATGGGTCTGAGAACAGCCTGAGGTCTACAAACTGTGTCAGGGATCACGACCTTCCATTGGGATCAATGACCTCAGCCTTTGTGTTTATATTCTTAAGCTCTTTTAAATACACCAGTGCATGTGGGCGGGCACACGCACGCACATGCACACACACACACACACACACACACAAAGGTGCACCCTATTTGGCTGTCTATATCCTGATTTCCTTATTTACTTTTTTGCTTATTTATTATTGATTGATTGATTACAGGGGGGTGGGCAGAGAGACCGAGTACGGGTGGGGTGAGGGAGAAGCAGACTCCCCACTGAGCACGGAGCCCAACATGGGGCTCGATCCTGGCACTCTGGGACCATGACCTGAGCCGAAGGCAGATGCTTAACCGACTGAGCCAGCCAGGTGCCCCCCGGATGCCTATATCCTATTAAGAGGGACACCATGCTCTATTATCCATACCGTAAGGTCCCTGAGGGTTCCACATCATTCTGCCCCCTTGTCATTCCAATCTTGCTGCCCATCACATAATCATAACCACATTACTTCGTAGAGTTAAATGCTGCCACCTGGACTCTGCCACTCAGGGATATGATCATCCCCGTTATTCCTAGGGAGCATATTCCCGCGGACACAGCAATCCCAACACAACCTCTGACTACAGAGAATAGGCACTACTATCTCAGTGACCCTGCTGACACTGGTACTTGATGATTCCTTAACATCTTCGTAAACAGAGTGCCCCCAGATCTCTCCTAGGGAACATAGGCGGCTTGGGCTTTCTGGCTTTATGACTACATCTATTTTAGCACTTCTACTTCTCTGCACTTTTCAATTCCCCCTTTCTCACCCGTGTGTGCTGTGGTCCTAGATACATCCGTACTGGTTATCCACTCTTACGCAATATTACCTCAAAATTCAGCAGCTCAAAGCAACACTCATTTCTTAGCTTAGTTTCTATTTCACAGGGTTGCACGCAAGGCGCTGCCTGGCACTGCACTGGTCTCAGGGGAGGTCTCGACTGGGGAAGAAGCCACTGCTCACTTCACTTACGTGCTCACTGGCAGGATTCAGTTCCTTGCGGACCACGAGAGTGAGGACCTTGCTTCCTTGCTGGCCGCTGAATGGAGATTGTGCTCAGTTCTCTGCTGCGAGGATCCCTCCCACATCGTACCTGGCTTCATCAAAGCCAGTGAGAGAGAGAGAAAGGGTTGGCTTTAAGATGAAAGTCACAGTCTTTTGTAACACAACCCCTTGATGTTGCCATCTGCCATGGTTTAGAAGCAAGTGACTCGAGGGGATGGAGATAGATGAGGGGATGGAGATAGATGAGACCATGAACACCAAGAGGTGGAAAGCAACTTGTAGGCCATCTTGGAGGCTGCCTACCAGAACTCTTACATAATATTGAGTGAAAGAATCAAAACACAGTCCTGGTAAGACTTCCCTTTAAAACTATCAGAAACACATAAAACAAAACTATATAGTTTAGGCATGCATACCTAGCTAATAAAACCCTAAGGAAAATAAATGAAAAGGTTACTTGAAAAATCAGCATGGTAATCATCTGTAGGGTGGAAAAAGGATTGTGCTCAAGAAAAGACATATCATATCGAGAGCCTTCTTGGGCGCAACAATGTTCTATTTCTTGACTCAAGCTTTGGGTATGCAAATATTTGCTCCATAACTATGTTTTATCTTATGCTTGTAGAGTTGATATGCTTTTCAGTTATGTGCATTTTTCATCATCTGGAAGAATTTTTAAAAATTTAGGGTGCACTGAAATGCATACTCTATTTAAGATTTAAAAGGAAAGGTTAGCTTAAGGAATGGATGGTCACCCTACCATGAAATTTAATGCTAACAGTTAAAATAAGACTTGGTACTTCACTAGTACAGCACTGACTGAACTAGTGATATATGCATCAACATTAGTGATCCTTACAGGCAGAAGCCAAGTTAATGGTGCCAAACCAAAGAGAAATTCCATATGCTGTATGAATAGTGTACAAAAACACACACACACACACGACACAGACATAGATGTAGAGTCTGCCGGATGTTCTAGATCAAAAGAGATCTATGGTAAAAGAAAACATAATGAAGCAGCAATTGCCACTAAGGCTATGGCGCAGTTTACTAAGGGACGAGTGGGGACTCTCTGGTATAATGGAAATGTTCTATCATGATAGATGTGGGGATTACACGGATGGGCTTCTGTGTATCAAAATTTGTCACTATGGAGGACTACCCGTAGGATTTTTTCAATTTCAATGTGTGTAAATTCCACCCAAACTATAAAATCAATCATCAAATGTAAACAAGAAAACGTGACTAAATTATTTACTTATGAATAAACCTACGTCTTTACCAAATTCTCATCGTGGCTAATTCGCCTTCCACACATTCCTTTTGGTTAAATTACACTACTATGAGCTCTTTTGATGTTTCTTTACATAGTATATTGCAGTTGTTTGTATGTGTGTGGGGGGGCAGTGGGGGATGCGGGGGTGCTTTCTGTAATCGAAAAGGAACAGGGAGGAACTTGATAGAGGCACTTCCTCAAAGCATGAATGAACAGAAGAAAGGAGTAGGTCTCTAAAGTGTGGCCCCTGGGCCTTCAGCATCAACAGCATCTGGGTACTCGTTAGCAATGCCAGACCTCAGGTTCCCTGTGTAATCAGAAGCTGTAGCATTTGTCCCGACATACTTAATAGGCCCTTTGGATGACCTGCGGCATGCTAAAGTTGGACTATCACTAAGTGGGGTAGACGGAGAAATAGGAACTAAATGAAGTTACATTGACTAAGATCCACTCACATTTCAAATGGATCCCCCCAAAAAACATGTGCTATAGATTTCCCAGCTCTGCAGATAAATTCTGTGGAGAGGCACCTTCTGAGCATTTGCTTTTTGCTCCGTTGAAGAGTATTTTTAATCAAGGAGGAGATAAGAATAAAAATGAGGCTAAGTTTTTCGGAATCTAAAGACCACCCAGAGAAATGCAACACAAAAATATGTGACGGCAAAGTTAACACTTAATGAACTACGAATCAGGGCAGTGACCGGAACCATACAGATAATGAATGGCCTGCCACGGTTTTAGGGTAGACAACGTGATCCAAAGACAGAAACGCCCAAGAAAACCCATTCCAGTGGCAGAGGTCAGCAACATCACACACACGTAGACAGCGGTCCCCTTCCTCATTGCTCAACAATGACCCATGAAACAGGGCCTCTTCCTCTTGTCTCATGCCACTTCCCACATGCCACACTTATGCACGTGGGATTTCCTCCCCGCTGATCATTGGAAGAAATGCACGACCAGAGATATGTTGGCCCTGATCCCATCCTGCTAGGGGATACAGGAGGGGAGAGGAAGAAATGTAATTGCAAATGCCACCTATCACATAACGGCCCTCTGCGGAGGAAGAGGAGGAGAGAGAGGTCCAGAAGATGCCGGTGGGTATGAGTCAGGAGGAAAAGCAGACCAGATGGAATGTATCACATCTAGAAAAGAAAATGTGTTTCCCATGAGTTTACACCATTACATAGACAAACACTATTGTGTCTCTGACAATTACTTAAATATTCGGTAAACAACAACAAGGAAGACGTGTGGACAAATCACCCTGGTCGGGCAGTATATAGAGGCCATGGCCCAAGGAGCCTTCCAAACTCAAGACCTTCGCTTTCCTGGAAACCCACCCAGAACCTCCACCCTCTGACACCATGGTCAACTCCTGTTGTGGCTCCGTCTGCTCTGACCAGGGCTGTGGCCAGGAGACCTGCTGCCACCCCAGCTGCTGCCAGACCACCTGCTGCAGGACCACCTGCTGCCGCCCCAGCTGCTGCGTGTCCAGCTGCTGCCGCCCCTCCTGCTGTGGTCCCAGCTGCTGTGGCTCCAGCTGCTGCAGGCCCAGCTGCTGCATCTCTAGTTGCTGCCGCCCCACCTGCTGCCAGACCACCTGCTGCAGGACCACCTGCTGCCGCCCCTCCTGCTGTGGCTCCAGCTGCTGCCGCCCCTCCTGCTGCATCTCTAGCTGCTGCCGCCCCGCCTGCTGTGGCCCCACCTGCTGTGGCTCCAGCTGCTGCAGGCCCAGCTGCTGCATCTCTAGCTGCTGCCGCCCCACCTGCTGCCAGACCACCTGCTGCAGGACCACCTGCTGCCGCCCCAGCTGTTGCTAGACCACCTGCTGCTGCCCAACCTGCTCTAGTGCTTCTGCAGCTGAGTATCCTGGCCCGCACCCCGCTGTGTCTTTCATCAACCAATCTTCTTCAGGTAGTCCAACTGTGAGCTGAATCATGAGAGGCCAACTGTCAAACCTCAGTTCCGGCGGACTTTTCAACTGAGTTGGCCTCCAGATATACTCCCCCACCACCAACGCCCTCCTCCCCGCCTCCTTCTTACTAGCTCCCTCCCAAGGAAATACAGAGCTTGAATTTTCTCTGAGATCTCTCAACCAGCATGTCATCCCAATCACACCTTTCGTTCCTGCCAGGTTTCCTCCTATGGAGATGAGGCTGTATCTTAAATAAATCTTAAAGTCTCCAGGCATACAGATCCGAAGGGCATCGTGTCTCATTATTTCTCCCTCATGAACTGTTATCCTTAGCTGTCGATCGTAGTTCTGGTGTTCCCTGCAGAAAGAGGAGTCCGCAGCAGATGACCTTAGGATTTCCACCTCTACCCCCTCAGCACTCCCCGTGCTGACATTGACCCTGGTTGTTTACAGCAGGCACCTGGAGCTCTCTGCTGAGGCTTTGTCCAGATGAGGGAGGAAGCTCTCGGCAGGCCAGAGGTAGGGAAAGTAAGTCTCCAGGAGAAGTCCTCCACCAATGGGCAGCACTTGGTGGGTAAGTGCTCTAGCCTCTTTCCCCTCGAGTGGGGCGTGTGAGACCAGAGGCCCTCAGCCAGGACTGAACCCCAGGCGCCTACAGGAGTCATCTGCTCTTGAAATCATTCTGGATTGGCTTCCACCCCTTCCCTGGATCACTTCTCGGGTTCCCTACAGCCCTTCTTGAGATCGCCTCCCAAACAAACTGCTTGCTCTCAAACCTCTGGTTTTAGACTCTGCCCGTGACGTCACCCTAACACCAGTGTTCCGAATCTCAGGATCAGCGTCTTCAAAACATTTCCATACAGTAGGAATGGTAACAATGATGCCAGCCAACTCTTGAACTTATTCTCCACTGAAGCACTGAATCTTTTCCTAGTATGCTCTTTCTTCTTACAGTTTCTGCACACTTGGTTTTAGACTATTAGCCTCCAATTTTTAAAACATCCTTCTCTATCCTCAGGGACAGGACACGCTCCCGTGAGTAACACAGCTCACCATGTTAGGAACTGTCTCCCTAAAGGAGGCCTGTTTAAGGGGAACACTCCCAAACTGTGACTCTTACATTGCATTCAAAAATCCAGAGACTAAAACAGGATGTTGAAGGAAGAGCTCTCAGGAGAAATCAGTAACAAACGGAAGGAAACAAAACAGGGGTCTAAAAGGAACGAATGCAAAATGTGGTTCCAGTTCAATTCTACCCTCACGTTCTGACCCCACAGGTGAGGGGTGTAGACTGTGTTACAGGCCTGCTCCTCTTGGAGGCAAGGGGGTTGGGCCTATGTACTCCTACATCACTTTTCACTACCTGTGCACAACCCTTGGGGGGTAGAAATGATGGAGGGGGCAGACTTCTGGGTGTGGTCCAACCCTAGGCCGAGAGTCAATTACCTGCAGAACAGTGTGGGTGAACAGTGTGAGCCACGAGTAGTCCGTACTCTGCACTGGCGTGTGGATCAGGGCATTTATGGAAAGGGGATCCAGATGAATATCACATATGTACCCCCTAGCTCTGCTCATGTCTATGGATTGCTCTCATTAGCCTCACTCCATGTGGCTTGCCACAAATTCTAGAAAAACCCTCAAGAGGGGAGTTAGTGCGTGGCTCCTCTGCTCCTTTACCTGACTTGCCTGGGGCACTGACCTCCATCCCCACCCCTGAGAGTCCTGAGCCCATGGTTCCTCTGTCCTCTTCAGGCTATACTACTCGCTCATCAGCGGTTGATACTGGGAATAGGATACCAAGAATGCCCCTACACATCACCTCGATGCCAAGCATCCTCCTTATGGCTCCCATAGCTCCCTTCTTTGCTTGATGATTTCATGGCACTAGAAACCCAACGGGATAAGGGGGCAGCCAGAGTTTTAATACCAATCAGAATTTTACCATGTCCCCCTCGAACTAGCTTTCGTCTCTTACAGCCATGACCCCTAGATGCACACAGCCAACAATTATGGTAGAGGGAGGCACAAATTCCCCCAAATGGATCACCGCGATGAAGATCATGGGGAAACTTCTCCTTTCACTCCAACCTCCAGATCAATGTATTCAAACAAGGGCCATGAAAGACTCTGGATATCCTGCAGTCCGTTCAACTCAGATCCCATGTACAACAGCCTGCCAACGTAGGAGTATTCCAGCTTCCCCTGGGTCAATGGCTATAGATTTTGGGGCAAGGACTAAGGAAATTCTGTGATATACACTTGCTGTGATCCTTCATCCAAGAACACTGGTCTCTCCATTGATGGGTTAATGGGTCTGAGAACAGCCTGAGGTCTACAAACTGTGTCAGGGATCACGACCTTCCATTGGGATCAATGACCTCAGCCTTTGTGTTTATATTCTTAAGCTCTTTTAAATACACCAGTGCATGTGGGCGGGCACACGCACGCACATGCACACACACACACACACACACACAAAGGTGCACCCTATTTGGCTGTCTATATCCTGATTTCCTTATTTACTTTTTTGCTTATTTATTATTGATTGATTGATTACAGGGGGGTGGGCAGAGAGACCGAGTACGGGTGGGGTGAGGGAGAAGCAGACTCCCCACTGAGCACGGAGCCCAACATGGGGCTCGATCCTGGCACTCTGGGACCATGACCTGAGCCGAAGGCAGATGCTTAACCGACTGAGCCAGCCAGGTGCCCCCCGGATGCCTATATCCTATTAAGAGGGACACCATGCTCTATTATCCATACCGTAAGGTCCCTGAGGGTTCCACATCATTCTGCCCCCTTGTCATTCCAATCTTGCTGCCCATCACATAATCATAACCACATTACTTCGTAGAGTTAAATGCTGCCACCTGGACTCTGCCACTCAGGGATATGATCATCCCCGTTATTCCTAGGGAGCATATTCCCGCGGACACAGCAATCCCAACACAACCTCTGACTACAGAGAATAGGCACTACTATCTCAGTGACCCTGCTGACACTGGTACTTGATGATTCCTTAACATCTTCGTAAACAGAGTGCCCCCAGATCTCTCCTAGGGAACATAGGCGGCTTGGGCTTTCTGGCTTTATGACTACATCTATTTTAGCACTTCTACTTCTCTGCACTTTTCAATTCCCCCTTTCTCACCCGTGTGTGCTGTGGTCCTAGATACATCCGTACTGGTTATCCACTCTTACGCAATATTACCTCAAAATTCAGCAGCTCAAAGCAACACTCATTTCTTAGCTTAGTTTCTATTTCACAGGGTTGCACGCAAGGCGCTGCCTGGCACTGCACTGGTCTCAGGGGAGGTCTCGACTGGGGAAGAAGCCACTGCTCACTTCACTTACGTGCTCACTGGCAGGATTCAGTTCCTTGCGGACCACGAGAGTGAGGACCTTGCTTCCTTGCTGGCCGCTGAATGGAGATTGTGCTCAGTTCTCTGCTGCGAGGATCCCTCCCACATCGTACCTGGCTTCATCAAAGCCAGTGAGAGAGAGAGAAAGGGTTGGCTTTAAGATGAAAGTCACAGTCTTTTGTAACACAACCCCTTGATGTTGCCATCTGCCATGGTTTAGAAGCAAGTGACTCGAGGGGATGGAGATAGATGAGGGGATGGAGATAGATGAGACCATGAACACCAAGAGGTGGAAAGCAACTTGTAGGCCATCTTGGAGGCTGCCTACCAGAACTCTTACATAATATTGAGTGAAAGAATCAAAACACAGTCCTGGTAAGACTTCCCTTTAAAACTATCAGAAACACATAAAACAAAACTATATAGTTTAGGCATGCATACCTAGCTAATAAAACCCTAAGGAAAATAAATGAAAAGGTTACTTGAAAAATCAGCATGGTAATCATCTGTAGGGTGGAAAAAGGATTGTGCTCAAGAAAAGACATATCATATCGAGAGCCTTCTTGGGCGCAACAATGTTCTATTTCTTGACTCAAGCTTTGGGTATGCAAATATTTGCTCCATAACTATGTTTTATCTTATGCTTGTAGAGTTGATATGCTTTTCAGTTATGTGCATTTTTCATCATCTGGAAGAATTTTTAAAAATTTAGGGTGCACTGAAATGCATACTCTATTTAAGATTTAAAAGGAAAGGTTAGCTTAAGGAATGGATGGTCACCCTACCATGAAATTTAATGCTAACAGTTAAAATAAGACTTGGTACTTCACTAGTACAGCACTGACTGAACTAGTGATATATGCATCAACATTAGTGATCCTTACAGGCAGAAGCCAAGTTAATGGTGCCAAACCAAAGAGAAATTCCATATGCTGTATGAATAGTGTACAAAAACACACACACACACACGACACAGACATAGATGTAGAGTCTGCCGGATGTTCTAGATCAAAAGAGATCTATGGTAAAAGAAAACATAATGAAGCAGCAATTGCCACTAAGGCTATGGCGCAGTTTACTAAGGGACGAGTGGGGACTCTCTGGTATAATGGAAATGTTCTATCATGATAGATGTGGGGATTACACGGATGGGCTTCTGTGTATCAAAATTTGTCACTATGGAGGACTACCCGTAGGATTTTTTCAATTTCAATGTGTGTAAATTCCACCCAAACTATAAAATCAATCATCAAATGTAAACAAGAAAACGTGACTAAATTATTTACTTATGAATAAACCTACGTCTTTACCAAATTCTCATCGTGGCTAATTCGCCTTCCACACATTCCTTTTGGTTAAATTACACTACTATGAGCTCTTTTGATGTTTCTTTACATAGTATATTGCAGTTGTTTGTATGTGTGTGGGGGGGCAGTGGGGGATGCGGGGGTGCTTTCTGTAATCGAAAAGGAACAGGGAGGAACTTGATAGAGGCACTTCCTCAAAGCATGAATGAACAGAAGAAAGGAGTAGGTCTCTAAAG